TATAATTAAAAAAAGTATATAAATATTCGTTTATATTCTGCAGATGAAGGAGTGTACAACACGTATGTGTTGGACTCTGACTACAAATCGTGGGCATTGTTGATGCACTGCGCTGAGCAGAGCAAAAGTCCTCGATACTTATCTAGTTTCATCATGAGTAGAGAACCAAGCTTGGGAGCTAATGTTATTTCTTATCTGCGTGAAAAACTGCCGAGGTAACTACGATAGGAAACTTCAGTCTGAGCTTTTATTTTAATTTCTATGATCGTGCTATTTTACAAATAATTAATTTCTCCGTAAAGGTACGACATCGATTTAGAATACGTGTTCTCAATGGATCAGGAGAATTGCAATAAGACGGAGAGTTCGGAACTGGATATGTTACTACCACCATCGGTATTGGCAAGAAGAAATAATGCCACGCGGAAGCATCCGTTAAAAAGGAAGCATCGACACGTCTAAATTATGTAGTATTATATATAATAAATATGTACAAAAAATATGAATGCTTTTGAAAAGTGAACATCGTGATTATTAAACAATATTTATAATTTTTACCCGCTCTGTCATTTTCATCCAGTTGTTTCGTGTTAATAGGGGGATGGTGAAACACAAGCTTCTTAGACACTTCGGGCTAGTTTTATTAATTCAATTAACAACGTGTTATAATATTCTTAGTCTCTTTTTCTTATTTATAATTACATAATTATAATGAACCGTTATTGTTTTCTTTAGACCCGTCGTCTTTCAACATCTTAGCGTAGCTCATCCAAAGTCGCGGGCACACACTTGCAGGAGCACGTAGGATCGTCGATCGATGATTCGCGAGGTCATCGTCGTCATTTATCTCTTTTTCATCATCACCACCAACCACCACAATCATCGTCACCGTTTTAATAATCGTTATCGTGACAGCCGTCGTCAGATAATCATCCAGGGCACCTAGTACTTAACTTTACTGGATATGGCAGCTACAACTTATAAGAAATATTACAAAATCACTGAAAATTCGTTCTCCTTGCATATCTCGAGTTGTCTATCATTCACGCAAAACGATCATACCCGACACGGATCTCCTCGCGGAGGTTTCCTCTTTCTCACGCGTTCCGCAATAATCTATGTCGTAGTTTTCTCGGCTTTCTCACACTCTCTCAACAGATTTTTCAGACTTGTGTCTTCGTGTGTAACGCGGTGGGTCTGCAGCTCGACGATTCCGCTATCGAATAAACGTGTCGCGTCTCAATAAATGTTAATTACACGCTCGACGACTAATATTAATTGTGTCTCGAATAGGAAGAACGTAGTAAAATCTATGCGTTCCTTCGTAGTTGTGTATATCGTTTATATGGTACGCATGTAGCTTGTGTATACCGTGTGTGTATGTGTATGTGTGTGTGTATGTGTGGTTTGTGTGCGCGCGCGGGCGTATGTTTCTCTCGAGTTCTTTACAAGTTAGTTGAGCCGTGATTTGAACAAGTTCTGAATAGAAGCCGCGCGATAGTTCGATCACAACGCAGAATCATCAGCGGATGCAATAACGCTTCACACCATACCCGTACTTACGTACTTACACGCATTCACTCCCTCGCTCTACGGGCTGCATTATGCAAATTTCCTATTTAGTCTCCTAATAATTTAGTCATTTAATTAGTTACACAATTAATTTATTGAATCGTTTGTAATTAATTATCTATTTATTACATTTGTTTCTCGTGAAACCACGTTACTTCTTCGTACGTGTATTTATACTCTGTCTATGTGTTTTCTTGTATGTACGTGTATGTACGTTCCGTAAACGTCTACAAGTGTGTCGCTGCAGTTGAATCTGTGTACGTGTTTTGGAGTTTCGTTTAATTTCTCATTTTTCGCCTTCCTCCTTCTTTAATACAAGACGGTGTATAGTATTACTTCGTATAGTTGGTAGATCTATCTATTTACTTGAGTTTACGTGTTATAAATATCGTATAGTAAATCGCGTTTCCTTCACTTCGTCATTCGATTATGCGCTTTGTACGAGGGTGCAATGCGAACCGAGTGATATTACAGTCGACGTGTGTGTTACGTGTGGTGGTCGCGTGTCGAAACGTAATCCCGTATTTGAATATAGTTCGCTGATAATCACCGGCCGTCCCTAAAACGTTCGCTCCATGCGTTTCAACTCGAACTCGGAACGCGATAAGTAGTTGTGAATTTGATGTCCATTCGGTAAAGGCATAAATGCAACGCACGGTACGACGTCCTAGATTCAGCGAAGAAATAAGAATAGCAAGGACAGTTTAGTCTGGAAATCGAACTGATCTCAGTTTACGGAGGAAAAGAAAGTGAAGAGGGGAAACGGTAGCTAAAGAAGGGCAGCGCTTGCGCATATAATTTACGAATAGTTCATCGCGGGACGAACACCCGTCAGATGTCAGAAGTACTAGACGAAATCGGCGAAGTTTCTCTACTGCTTAAAGTTACAGGTAAACGACTAGCCGTCGATAGTCCGGTTATCCTTCAATTTGAACAGACGAAGATTGACGATTAACGGTGGGATAGCGGCGGCGGACTATCGGACGGCGCGGTCCTAGAGCTCCTTTTTTTCATTTTGTGTAAATAGTTATAAGAGAGTACGATAGGAGGCAAATACAGCTTACGGATAGTCGATTGACAGATTCTTCTCCTTCAGTTTTAAGAACCACAACCGTGTCCACTCGGTCAACATTCGTGAACAATTCGAACGACCGTTCGACAGTTTTTGATCCTCTTGTGTACGTACGATCTTCGGAAGGCAAACGTTGTCGTGCTCTCGGTGCTCCTCCTCGAATTCTCGTTCTTTTTGGGGCAACAACTCGAATCGTTACCATTGTATCTCTACGTACAGACCGCACAGACTGACGAAACTAGCGATAAATTCGTGTACGCGCACTATACGTGGCACGAGGAATGTCTGGGTAAAATGCAAGAAATAAGAGATCACAGAACGGCGAGAGAACGGAACGGGACAGCGTAACGATGCGGAGAGAGGAAGAGAGGAAACTGCGTGACCGAAATAATCGCGGGGAAACGAACTCCGTCGTTAACCCACTTGCAGCTGAAACGCATACGTCATTATGTTCTTGGACCACGTTGGAGATGTCAATGTTGTTCGTACCGTGTAAGGAAACATCACGCGTTAGGCGAAAAATTGACGATGTTAATGTGAGATGTCGAATTCGTTTGTCGATCGTTAAGTTCCCTACGTTTTCGTGCTCAAACAAAAGTTCGATAACATTTGAATATGAACGACATGCACCATTCATCCACGCGAGCAATGCAAATGGGTTAATCACTGCTCGTCGAAATTGATTAACATTAACCGAGGCGATACATGAAATCGTATTGCTTACGTATACCGAAGAAGCGACGTTGGTTCTCTGGAACTTATATATGTATATCGAAATCGAAACGCATTTACGTATCTTGCTCTGGCTGCTTTTTGATTGTCGTATTCCGCGCCTCGGGATAGAACATGTTTCCAATTGTCGGTCCCGTCTCTTCGGCTCTCTCCGCGAACTCCGATAACAATCAACGACGATCCAATCGATACAGTTAGGGGGAATATTAATGAATATTAATGAAAAAAGTCGATGAACACACGGTCGAAGTCACGCATTCCAGTCGAGATCTCGTACGCTGTAGATCAATCGAAGAATTGACGGAAAATTCGTTCGTTCGATTGGTCCGACGTGTTTCCACGCGCCTGGGCCACTCCCGGGTCAACCACGATGGGTGATCTCCCGCGGCACACCGCGAATTCTTTGCAAACAGGCGTGTCGCTTTTTTTTCTATTTTTCTCTCGCTTTTTTCTTTCCTTTCGATCGCGTGGCCGCGGCAAAGCGATCGCAAACGGACCGGTCGTTCGGTGGATCGCGATTCGATGATCACTGTCTCACATTCGACGAGCCATTGCAGTTGGTGATCTGACGGATTGGCGAGGTTCGCTGTCAGTAGACCCAGGACACGGGCACCCATTGAGGTGTCGTGTGCACGCGTTCAATCGCTGCTTCCAGCTGCACGATCGTCTCGTCGATCTCGTTGTTCACGATGGTCAGGTCGAAGAAATGGCCGTACGCCTGCTTCAGCGAGTCCGACTCTTTCGCCAGTCTTTCCAGGCTTCCGTCACACTGGAACGGTAATCGAATATTTTTAATAAAATGAGATATACTAAAAAAAACGTTGATTTTATTCTATACGAAAAGAGAGTGAAAATATTATAGCGCGCAGCGAGTTTTATTTGAAATTTTATTAAATTCTTTTATTCTATTTTGATATTAAAATCTTTGAAATTATTCCGAAAGCCGTTTGTATTAACTCGTGGCACGGTTTATTCCCGAAGCTAAATTCAATTGAAACGGAAGCGTGGAAGCTCCGTAATTTCGTCAACGGTCGATTAATCGCGCAATTAGTTAATCCGAGGAAGGTAGTTAGCCTGATTCCCTCGGGAAAACGCTAAGCTAGGCGAATCCGATCGATAATCATTACTTACGTCGGCGATATTTTGGAACTGCGGTGCCGCGATGAAAACGACGTAAGGCGCGAACTCCGCCGTGCGTAACACCTTCAACGCCTGCGGCTCGACGTCCAATATAGCCACCTTCCCCTCTTCGTGAATTTTTCTGATCGTCTCCAGCTTCGTTCCGTACATCGCGTTCTCATGCGTACCTGCACAGAAATATGATACATTTTTAAACCTAAAGTTCTGCACTAATCTACGATATTTACAATCTCAGAAAGAAAATTAATTATTCATATTCTTTTTCTAAAATTTTATTCTTTAACTCATGTCCAGAAATATGTATTTTTAATTTCAACTGATTGGAAAGTTTAATAAAATCTCGTAATCAATAAATAATTTTTAGATCAATGTATTTTACATGTATTTGCTTACCGTATTCGAGGTATTCATTGGAAGCAATATCAGCCATCATTTCATCGTGCGACACGAAGTAATAATTCCGACCATTTTCTTCGTCGTTTCGCGGAGACCTCGTTGTATCTGAAAAATAACATACGATATGAACATTTTATGCTGCACTCTCAAAACTTGTCAACATAATTAAAAACGTCCATGTCATGGAAATTGTACATTATCTTTGCTGACACTTACGTGGAATAGGATAGGCATATTTATCAGGATGCTTAGCAATAATTGTATTTTTTATCTGACGACGACCAACGCCATGAGCTCCCAGTAAGACTAACGTTTTCCGTTGGAATGCAGGATCTGTAACGAGACATATTACTGTGAAAATTTATGCTCTGGAAATAAACGAACTATGGACTTTACACGATTTAAACGCAAATACTCACAGGGAAGTTTAACGACCTCCTCGTAGGTGACCAGATCCAGCTGGTCAAATACTGCGTTGTGTTTCGCGAGATATTTATCCTTGTACTGCTTCTTCTTCCGGCCAAATATTGAGCAATTCACTGGAAGTTCAAGACAGATTACAAATCACTATAAAAAGAAACATTTAGAACGATGTATCCTGTAAAGCAATAATTTCTGGTCCCACTGACAAATCCCTGTAGAGTTTGTAGTTTCATCTCGAAGTCGTATGAATCACAAACGAATTTTGATTCATTGTACTTTATTCGCTATAAAATTCTGAACTATTTAATCGTTGGTAAAGTAAAGTAACTCTGCTCCAGTTCGAATAATTAAAGAAGTTACGTAATATTAAACTCTAAAGAGAACTGTGCACGTAGACTGTTAAGTAAGTATGCTTTTACGTTACATAGCAGTTACAACAGGTAGATAATACATAATCGACGACAGAAGGTAACTTTCCTCAGACGAGAACAGAAAATATATATAGTAACTTGTCAATCAACTGGTATGCCATTCAATAAACGTACGTTCCTTGAAATTCGTCGAAAGTGTACCACGTGTATCAGAGGCTGTTGTAAACACTCAACTATCTATTTATATATATATATATATTTATATATATGTGTATATCATCGCTAGTCAGCATCGTCTTCCTCGTACAAGAGCTAGGCATTTAACGCGCAAAAATATAAATGAAGAACAATACTACTTTCGTTAAATACATAATGTCAATCCACTGTGTAAGCGTATTCTCTCTAATGGTAAAGAGATCTCATTCAACCAGCCAGTTTACATAAAAGCCATGACCATAAAGGAGGGTGTGGGATTCCCATTGAGACGGGTGTTCCAGCAGGTCACAAGATGTAAAAGACAGAAGGTAATTACGTCGGATGTGTAACTCGTGTCTGTGAGAATCTCGAGAATCGGTGTCACCACCAGAGCATGATTATGGCAAGCGTGAACGACTTAATGATTGCAATAATTTCGCCAGTTCAAACTCGTTAAGAGGGCTCCCGACACCCAAGTACATATCATTTGACTGATTTATTCAGAATAATTCTGTTTTTTGTTTAGACAATGAAGCTGTTAAAAAATGACAAAGCGAAGTTCAATGGAAGGTGTGCAGAAAATCAAGTATAAAAAAAGTATTTAAACATATTTTACATAATAATATGAAAATACTAATAAATAAAAAAGGAAAATACGTGATTAATGATGTAATTTGAAATTAACACATTTGCAGTACTCGTGTTTCTCAGTAAATTTTGTTACTTAACGAGTTTCCGATTTTCTCCGAAACGGTGTAGAATTATATTCAAATTGGCGTTTCACAGATATTTCACGTTCAATGCCTGAGCATAATGATGCTGGAACGATGTGCTTGCGAGTGGTGTCGTGCGATCAAGCGTGAAGTGCGTGAAACGTTTAGCGAGAGCATGCATCGAAGCACGCCGTGTGAAAGCGTATTATGTGTTACGTTACATGGAGTAACTCGCTTGAAAGTAGAATAGTTAGAAAAGAAAAAAAGAACAGAAGAGTACTATATTGCTTTCTCAAAAACTTTATGGAGTAGCTTTCTCGTTACTGTACATAGCAAGTCAGTAAAGGGAAGTGAGCTGACGAGGTAAACTGCTTCTTAACGCTCGATATGTTATAC